ATATTTTAATAAAAACCGTCATCATTAGCCGAATTGCTTAACTGCGCTCCGTGAAGCCACGGGAGTAATTTGAGACATCACTGATTCCCGGATAGGTGACCGCCTGGGAACCCCGGTTACGAACAGCGCCAAGCCCCTGGCCGAAGGCATAAAACGTTTCGACTGACTGCGGAGTTACGAGACAAATAACAGAGGATTACTGCAAAGTACAAGTGCTCAATGCCCTAAAAGGTCTAAGAGACATGTTGCATAAACGACGCGACAAATGAGTGCATCTAGCACACCACAATTAAAAGTATTTTCAATAATAATAGACTTTTACATTTTTAAAGGATTGAAGAAGATATGCTAAGCTATTACCGAATATTTCGCAAGTAAAACAATATTTCGCATAGTTTTCAGCATATATAATCAATCTTTCTCATTACAAAACATATTTACTCATAAGAGTCAAATCTAACTTTGTTATTCTCCGAATAAAAACATAAATAGCTGTAAAATACCTTTTATTAAGTGGCTCGTGCCGTAGCCGAATCACAGGCGAGTGGCAGAAACGCTGCCGCATATTACCGGGAACGCGCAGTGGCTCACTACGAATACCGCGCCTGTCGGGGTTTTAAGCGGGTGGTCCGGAGCCTGGCGCGCAGATCGTGCAACGTAGAGGCCGCGAGCGCCCCTGATGTTGGCCCCACAGACACCGGGGGCGTTCGGGCATTCGGGGAAGCCCAGAAGGTTCTCTGCTTTAATTGCCCTGTTAAAATAAAATCCCAGTATTACCAAGTCTTTCATAGGTTAAGGCGCATTCGCGAGGCGGCGCGGCCGCCGACGCCGGGGGGCCGTAAGGCAGGGCTGGGCCCTCCGCCGCCAAGGCAACGCGCGAACAGGCGGCTTCGACCACCTTTTGCAATTTTTGTGCGGAAATGTTTGGAGGCTCTCTTGCTGCTGCAAATTTTTTCTTTAAATTTTCTCATCGTATGTTGAAAGGGACAGTAAAAATATAGTGTTAGTCCCATTTTCAACAAACCCTCCGTATTTTCGAAAATTGCAAAATGTTAACAATTCAAAACTGCAAAACTGAAGATATAAATTTTTGCCTTAGACAAAGTCTGTTCCAAAACAAAAAGCTTTTAAAAAAATTAAATGTTTCGAAAATAGGGGTAGTTTTTGTGTACTTTTGCGCGATATATAGGCAATTTAAATTTTGATAACCATCCCCCCAAAAAATGATCAAAGTGTTTTATTCAACTATTTTTCACAGACACAAGAAAAGACGGCACGTGCTTCATTGTCATTGATCTCTCTGATTTGTCAAAAATGGGAAATGTAGAAATAATGTGAGAAAGTACGTGATGTTTTGGCAGTACTAGTTTCATCCAGGTCATAAAGATTCTGAATATCTTTTAACTCATAGAAGACACAAATCTAATTTTGTTATTCTCCGAATAAAAACATAAATAGCTGTAAAATACCTTTTATTAAGTGGCTCGGGCCGTAGCCGAATCACAGGCGAGTGGCAGAAACGCTGCCGCATATTACCGGGAACGCGCAGAGGCTCACTATGAATACAGGCGCCTGTCGGGGCTTAAAGCGGGTGGTCCGGTGCTTGGCGCGCAGATCGTGCAACGTAATGGCCGCGAGCGCCCCGGGTGACTGACTCTTGGCCCCAAAGACACCGGGGGCGCTCGGGGAAGTCCAGAAGGTTCTCTGGCGTAATTGCCCTGTTAAAAAAAAGTCCCGGTATTGCCAAGTCTTCCATAGGTTAAGACGCGTACGCGAGGCGGCGCGGCCTGTGGCGCCGGGGGGCGGAAGGCAGGGCAGCGGCCCCCGCCGCCACGGCAACGCGCGATCAGACCACTTCGACCACCTTTTGCCACTTTAGTATCTCGTATACCAATTGCACAGATGAATATTTCTATTTCTGCAAAAATCGGTGTAGAGAGATT